CTTTCATTGGATTAGCAGTTCATACTGTAGAAGGCAGAGTTAGTCCTTTTCTTATTGATAATTTAAATTTGAACTTTGTTGTAATGCATATGAAATGTGGAGTATTTCTGCTTTGTGACACTTAAGATTAAGCAGTGTGATGACACACCCCTTTGATCCCAGCACTCTGGAGCTAGAGGCAGGCAGATCGCCTTGAATTCCAAGCCAGTCTGATGTACAGAGCGAGTTCTGGGCCAGCTAGGACTACACAGTAAGACCTTAAAAAAAGAGAAGACCTTGCCAGGGACCTGGAGCTTTGGCTTGTGAATGTCTTCACCTTAGCCCCTCTCTAGGATCACGAAAAAAACAGCAGATCCCTGTTGGCTGTTCACCCCATAGAACGGGAGTGAAGGCTGAAGAGACGCTTTCCTTCCCTGCCCACCTCTTCATCCTTTCCTGTCCTGTCTCTAGGGACTTGCTCACCTCAGAACTTTTTATGCAGCTTTTCCCTGTTTGGCCCTGTCATCTGTGACCGCCCAGGAGTCAGTCAACAGAGCTGCTTAGTCTTGTCTGACTTGAGTTTTCAGTGACCTCAACACAAGGGCCTCCTCATTGGTTGGGTTTGGGTGTTGGAGATTACAGTGCAGGCCTCACACACCCTAAACATTTGCCCTGCAAAGGGCTTCCACACAAACATTAAAGCACCAGCACCAATACCACCTGTGCTTGGGCCCTGCTGGAAGCAAATGGTGGCCATGAAGTAGTCTTCCCCAGCCCAGTGTCAAGTCCATCCCAAGCCTTTGAGCCATTGTTCCGATGCTTAGTTTTCTTAAACTCATTTTGTACCCACTAGACTTGGATACCTGGTGAGCCCAGCCAGTGTGCAGGGCCCTTGCACGCTGGCCTGAGAAGAATTCCTAGTTTTACTTTCCCATCCTGGAGCTAGATGATGGGATTTGGCTGCTCTTTTGTGTCTGTCTCCACTCTCTCCCAGCCCCCCACTTTGGTGTTTCTAGATGGGGTTTTTCTGTAGTCCTAGGTGCCCTGGAACTCACTCTGTAGACCAGGCTGGCCTTGAACACAGATCTGCCTGGCTCCGCTTCCCACATGGATGTGTCTTTGTCCTTATAGGCAGAGTTCTCTCTCCATGAATGACTCCCACCCTCTGCAATTCTGCCTCTGCCTTTTTAAGCAGAACAGTTTCTTCATGACTCAGCTCAGGAAATCTCATCCAGAGGTGTTTGGGACAGACATGGGTCCAGTTTCAGCTCTGCTATTTTCCATAGGTCTTGGGGCCACATAACAATCTTTTTTGAGCCTTGATTTTGTATGTGAAATACTAACAAGTTCTCCAAGACTGTTGAACTAGAATCCATGAGTGACAGGTTCCTTGCATGTAGTAGACGTTTTTGAGCTAATCTGCCCTGAAATGTTTATGGAAGTCCTTACAGTATGTGTTTGGCATGAGGCCTTCGTCTAATGATGATGGGCCAGACTAAGCTTGAAGACAGGAGAAACATTGGTATCTTCAAACAGGTTGGTGTTTATTCAGGTGCTCTCCCTGGTCACTAAATGCCCCCATATTTAAATGGTTGTGTGGTTGGTACTTAACTGTGTGTTTGATCCTGAGCAAGTTGAAGAGAAAATGGAATGCAGCCTCTACTCTTAATCTCGTGATTCTGTGGCCTCAATTTTTGTAGTGAGCTATTTTATTTTTAAATAAACCAGAATAGAGTATGTTTACTTTGAAAGCTGGCTCCTGGTGACCTGGCTAATGGTTTTAATATGGATATGATGGGAAAGCAGAGTTTCAGAAATATTTTCAGTGAGAATGAGATCCAACTAAGGTGTGTGCATGATGTATGAGGGCACAATGTTAAGGGTTTCTGGAGTGATTAAGAGAAAAGCACACATCCCTGTGCACTGTGATCTGCAGATGGTAATGTACACATATCTTCATGCACCATGGCATGCATGACATGTACACGGCATATACTGCTTATGTGCCGTGATGTATAGACAGTGGAGCGCACACATGCACAGTGCACCATGTACATGTTTAAGATCTCCATTAAAGCTAGACAAGTGGAGTCCTTGTTAAGTGTAAAAACTCTCACTGGTGGTAGATTTAATTTCCTTACCAATTTTCAAAATGCTACCAACAATAGAGTGCAGTGAATGCCTGTCATGCTCTCAGTGTGGTGTTCTCTAGCTTGCCTTTGTGCTGTATCATTGGAAGCAGATCCCAGATGCCATGTTCACCATAAATTTTCTAAGCTGGATTCGGGGTGGGGGTTTCTGTGGTTCTGTCAGTCCAATCCAGGGCTTTGCATATGCTAGGCAGGTGCTGCACCCTGGCCTACATTCCCAGATGAGAAGTTGAGAGTTTGGTTTGTGTTTTGCAGGTGGCTTGGTGGGGGAGCACACTGGGGATTGAACCTAGGACCTTGCATACAGAGCAAACACTCTATCACTAGGGTATACGCCCATCTGTAGGTTTTAAGAACAATAGTCATATTAAGAAATAAGGAGCCTCGAAAAACCAAAAAAAAAAAAAAAAAGAAATAAGGAGCCGGGCGGTGGTGGCGCACGCCTTTAATCCCAGCACTTGGGAGGCAGAGCCAGGCGGATCTCTGTGAGTTCGAGGCCAGCCTGGGCTACCAAGAGAGTTCCAGGAAAGGCGCAAAGCTACACAGAGAAACCTTGTCTCGAAAAACCAAAAAAAAAAAAAAAAAGGAAATGGGCATAATGGTGCATACCTGCCATCTCAGAGCATGGGAGGCTGGGGCAGGAGGGTCAAAAGTTCAAGGCCTGCCTGGGCTTCCCTGAGTTCAAGTGAATTGAGGTCAGTGAGGGAAATTTAGTGAGACCCTATTTCAAAATGGGAAATAGGAAACGCCAGAGATAAGTTCATTGGTAATATGCTTGCCTCGTTCGTAGGCACAAGGCCCTGGGTTCGATCAGCAGTGCCACAGAAGGAGAAAAGCACTAAAGTGTTCTTAGCCAGGTGAGGTTAGTGCACACCTGTAATCCCTGCACTCTTCAAGATCATCTTGAATGACAGAGCAAATTTGAGGTCATCCTGGGCTATATAAAAGATCCTATCTCAAACAAACCCCAAACATACAGGACATGGAAAATCCTGTTTTGTGGGTGTGCCACAGCACAAATGTGGCCAGAGGACAACTTGGGAGTTAGTTCCCTTTATCATGTAGATTGCAAGGGTCCTGAGGTGGTCAGGCTTGAGGGCAAGAGCCCTTACCTGTTGAACATCAAGTGAATACCAAGTCAACAGTATTGACGCTTCGGGGATGTTAAAGCGACTTAGGAAAAACATGGAGTTGGGCTTGGGTATATACTCATGTATGACCTTGTGCCAGCTAGTGACTTACTCTCTGAGGGCAGCCTTTTAAGGTTCTTGTGAAGATAAAATGAGACAAGATGTCCAAGAATGGGTGTGTGTGTAGCAAGATGGCTTACTAGCAGGTAGAAGCAGGTGCCCGTAAGCCTGATGACCTGAGTTCAATCGTCTGGGCATCTCCGTGGTGAAAGGAAGAACCTGGCTCCTAGAGTTGTCCTCTGACCTCCTCATCCCTACACACAGACCCACGAGAATTAAGTTAAAGTTCTTAAAAGGGTGAATGGAAAGTGGGGAAGGAGGTTGTTGGTTGGTTGGTACCACTCCTGGTCATGGCAGCCTGTCACTGATGTCCTCGGCTTGTATATATGTCTCCAGTCCACATGTTTCCCAGTGGCTGTCATGTAACCTTGTCCCTATGAATAGAGAGCAGTCGTGGACTTGGGGCCCACCTCCTCATCTTGACCCTGACTGACTTCATCTGCTGTGACCCTCTTTCTGGAATCACTTCTCAGTTTGGGGGTTAGGAATTAGACTCCTGGGGCACAGTTCAACTATGACATGCCTAAGTTATGCCTTTACAGTACACAGAGCATTTTTAAGGAAGAAATCCTACTCTGGGTCTAAGGCTGTTTAAGATTTATCCTTAGGAAATGGTGAAATATGTACATAAATTTAAAGGTAACATGCATAGTGGATTTATTGATAATCCTAGAACCTCAGGAAGAAAATAACCATAGAGTGCCGAAATATGGTGTGGCCATTAGATGGAGTATTGGCAGCTAAAACAGCAGTCTTCGGTGAAGGTGAAAGGTACGGCTCAGTTAGAATGCTCGCTCGCCTAGCATGCACAAAGCCCCGGGTTCCAGTTCCAGTATCACTGAACCAGGGCTGAGGTCAGCTTGTAGTCTGAGCACTCGGGCAGGAGAAGTTCAAGGTCATCCTTAGCTGCACAGCAGGTCGAGGCTAGCCTCTCTTAAAAAAAATGAAGTATGTCTTTGGAAATTTACATGAGAACGCCTACAGTAGAAGCAGGACATAGATGAGTGTGACCACATTTTGTTAAAATGGTGTAGTTTTAGATATACCTAGGAGAGATGGGGCAGAACTTCGTAAAAATATTAACAATTGTTTTTGAGTGGGATTTAAGATGATTTTAATCTCATGGTTTTATTTTTTCTGAACTGATGAATTTGGACTAGAAAATTCTTCAAAATAGAAAGTTTAGCTCATGGGATAGTAACTGTCAGTGTTTGTAAGCATTGAAGCAAAAGCAATTGGAGAGAATGGATGGTTAACTCTTACAGGCATGTTTAATGCATGTAATGAGTATTTGTCAAAGTACAGACTTATAAAAATGCATGTGGCTTGTTGGTGAGTGAGTGAGAGAGCTGTGGGCGTTGTCTGCAGGACTATTAACTTGATGCCTGAGACAAGTTTAATTTGTAAGTGACTTGGGAATGCCACAGTTGTAAGTAAGTAGCACTAGCCAGGGTCCTGGCAGCATTCCGCGGTTTTCGTCTCTCAGCTCTATGGGACAAATATTTAATAACTAGTTTGAAAAAATGCCCAATTACACAGAATCTTGTTTTTGCTTTAATTTGCTTTTATGAAATGAAAGCCAATTTATTTTTTTATTTTGGTTTTTTAAATCTCTTTCTAGGTTAAAAATTTTGCAGTTATTTATCTTGTGGATATCACAGAAGTACCTGATTTCAACAAGATGTATGAGTTATACGACCCGTGTACTGTCATGTTTTTCTTCAGGTATGCTATCTGAAAGTTGTTACTGACGTGGAAGACTGTTGGCTTGGGAGTTTGACAGGACAGAGGCTTTGTTTAGAAAGAAGTCAGTTGTGCAGTTTTACCTTAGGCAGTCAATGTGAATCTTTGAAATGATGCCAAAGTAGCAATTCCAGGTTTAACATTCACTCAGTAACAAATTACACATTTGAAATACAGTGCAGAAACTGGTGTGAAGTCTAATTAAATGGAAGACATTCTTACTGGCATTTAAGATGCCTTCAGAGAAAATCTGCTGATGAATAAACCTTTTAAAAAGTAACTTCACTGGTTAAGTATTATCATTGACTTTATTTGGTGTCCTTTGATAAAACTCAAGAAAACCTGAACTTAACTACTTTGCTTATACAATCCAAGATTGTTTCATCATCTCAAACACTCTGCTGGAGATTTGGAAAGACATCTCCATTTGACATTGGCACTGCTCGTCAAGTTTTTTCTATATATAATTACTAAAGAAGTTGGTGTATAGTCACAGAACTCCAAAAGTAGTGTCCAAATTGATAAGCAGGGTTGTGTGTTTCACCTTGTACAGAGACTTAGCAGTGTGAATTGGCTCTCATTTATGAATTTACAGTTCTGGAGGTAAGCAGGGCCAACTGAGTCCCTGCCAGAGCCTCACAGATTTGACTTGTAGGCTACGGAATTGTCTGGAGTCCCCTCTGGGTGTCTAAGGCTTCTTGGTGCTGTTGGTGGGAGCCACTCTGCTCTTAAAGGCTCCTCCACCACAAGAGGGCAGCATCCGTTGTCTGTCACAGTGAATCCTTTTCATCCAGTCCTGCCTTCCAGCTCTACCTCTTAGAGGGGGGCTAGACTCACCTGTGTAATCCGGGATAATCTCCTTTTTAAAGCCAGCTGCTGAGGAGCTTGATGCATGTCTGGAATTTCCTCTGCAGTATCACGTGCCAGGGTCATAGGGAAGTATCATAGGATTTTACCTATTACTCCTCAAGATTATCATCCTTCCCATAAGCAAAGCAGGCTCTCTCCCGGGTTTCCAAGGACCCCTTAAGATCCCACGCCGGGACCCAGCAATTCACAGTCCTCATCACTCGAGTGATTGTCCCGATCACTCGAGTCAGCATGGTTGAGTTCTGTGGCGGAAGCACAGCTCCAGCTATAAATCCCCTTTATCTCTGCTTCTGTGAAGCTGAGACATAAGTGAGGCCTCCAGTAGTTCTGGCTCAGAGGAAATGGGTGGAAACGCGCCCCCCCACACACACACAGAGTAGGGCTCCACGAGCTTCTTAGGTAATATGGCTTGGTATTACCTTCCTAGCTGTGTTTTACCTCTGGGAAGGGGTCTGACCAAGTCCCCTTCTTTGTGATTGGTGCTCGTAACTGAGCAGGTTGACCAGCCTCTTGCAACCACAGTGGGCACCATTCTCTTCTCCTCTCCACAGCCCTTTCTGTCCTTCACAGTTTGAGGGTGCAAGTTAAGCAGAGGAGGTGTCTTCTACTGGGTGACTTCTGAATAGGAAATGATGTTCCAGCTTCAGATGCCTTCTGTAGACTGGGAAGGCCACCCACCCTTGGGAGACACACCCACTGTTATCTCCTGTGTCTGAGTGCTCTGACCTATGGTCATTTGAGGCCTTCAGCATGAGTTCTGATGGCCATGTCCTTGTCCCTTTTCTGTGCCACATATTCAGCTGCCATTGCAGAATCTCAGCATCTTCTTATCTGCAGAGGCTGGGAATTTAATCTTCTTACTAACAGTCCTGTGCCTATTCATCTCCTCCTTCTACTGACAGTGAGGAAGCCGGCAGCACTTCCTTGTTTGGAAGTTGAGTCTCTACTAGATACACAAGAACATCATGGCCGAGTTCTACTTTTCATACAACCATGGGACACAGTTGTTCCCAGTGTGCAACCAAAGTCCCCTTTCCTCTTTGAAAAACAAGGTCCTCACTTCAGGTGGGACAGGAGGGGTCATCATAGAAAAAAGGTTGTAGGGAAGAGTGTTGTGTAGATAGGGACGTAGCTGGCATATTTGAGGTCTCTAAGACAGGTGGTGTACTCAGAAAAGAAGACAAACTTCCTCTTCCCTCTCTAACCCAAAGTTCTAGAACAAGGGTCAAGAGCAGTCACTTTATGCACCAGTATGCACACTCTCAGGACTAGGACAGAGAGTATGAGAAGCCAGGCTCCTCTTTTACAGAACCTTTGCAGAGACATAACTGATCAAGAAGCCTATCTAAATTACACAGAGCTCCAGGTATGCAAAAGACTGGTCATGTAGAGTGTGCTCAGCACAGATACAAAGAGTAAGCCATGGAGCCCAGCAGGGCTGCTGTGGTGTGGGTGGTAGGTGATGTGGGTGTCTGCCCCATTCCTAGTTGAGGACATAGAATGCTGCCCTGAGAGCAAATGTTTGACACACGGAAATTATGTCAAACTAACCTCCTCACTGCTCTCAGAACTAGTGGAGCGTGATCATGGACTATAGCTGAAGCTGGATGCATGATCCTGTAGAAGTGAAAAATTAAACTAAAAAGTAGATTTTTAGCAAATTTGGAAAAATTCATGCAAGTGCAACAGGAGTTAACATCAGAAAGTACAAATACAGGTTCCTAAGGGAGTGGGGTGAGGGGACATATCCTCTGAAGGGTTATTTGCTTCCCAGTCACAGCAGACAAGGACATGCAAGGTCACCATTCTCAACTCACAGTTACAAGGCTTTTGGTAAATCTGTACCAAGTTCCTGTAAGCAAAACATGAAAAAGTTACACATTGCTTTTTCAGGAAAATTAGTGCAACTTTCTGGAAAAGTACTTGTCTTTCCAAGTGATAGAACTGTCTTTTGGCCTTTGTAGTCTTAATATATGAATGCATAATTGCAGGACACTTGTAGAATATTATTGTAAGGTGTGTTACTTTTGTTTATGTTGCATTTGTTTAACTCTGAAGCTGTGTTCCCTTGCCTGTCTAAAACACCTGATGGTCTAATAAAGAATGAACGGCCAATAGTGAGGCAGGAGAGAGAAATAGGCAGGGCTGGCAGGCAGAGAGTATAAATAGAAGAAATCTGGGAGGAAAAAAAGAAGTAGCCAGAGGAGGAGGAGGACTCCGGGGCCAGCCACGTAGCTACACAGCAAGCCACGGAGTAAGATATACAGAAGAGGCCAGGCAGCAGTGGCACATGCTTTTAATCCCAGCACTCAGGAGGCAGAGCCAGGCGGATCTCTGTGAGTTCATGGCCAGCCTGGTCTACAGAGCGAGATCCAGGCAAAACTACACAGAGAAACCCTGTCTCTGAAACAAACCAAAAAAAGAAAAAAGAAAAAAAAGAGTTTACAGAAGTAGGAGAATGGGAAAAGCCTCGAGGCCAAAGATAGATGGGATAATTCAAAGTTAAGATAAGCTGGCTAGCAACAAGCCAAGCCAAGGCCAAACATTTATAATTAAGTCTCCCTGTGTGATTTATTTGGGAGCTGGGTGGCGGGTCCCCCAAAAGAGCAAAAACAACAACAGGACACTGGTGCATGCCCTCAATCTAGCACTTGGGAGGCAGAAGCAAATGGGTCTATATAGTGAGTTCTGGGACAGTCAGAGCTATGTAGAGAAATCCTGTCTCCAAAATCTAAATTAAAAAAAAAATATGTATATGAATGCACAGGAAACACAGAAGAGTGCACGAAGGGTGTGTGCCTGCTGCATTGCATTTCTAGGGAATTCTTTTTTTTAACTTGTTTATTTTTTTTTAAGATTTTTTTTTAAATTTATACAGTGTTGTTCTGCCTGCACGCCAGAAGAGGGCACCAGATCTCATTACAGATGGCTGTGAGCCGCCCTGTGGTTGCTCGGATTGAACTCTGGACCTCTGGAAGTTAAGAACAAGTGTTCTTAACCTCTGAGCCACCTCTCCAGCCCTGGGAATAATATTTAGTGTTTGTTTTTATTTGGTTTTGGACTGTGGTCTCTCTTGATGGTCTGTGCCTTTAAATGACATTATAGGCACTTAGAACAGCAGGAAGAATGGGCTTGTTTGTGGAATTCTCTTGTGAGCATTGCTGCTCTTTTCTCTTTCAGAAACAAACATATCATGATTGACTTGGGCACTGGCAACAACAACAAGATCAACTGGGCCATGGAAGACAAGCAGGAAATGGTGGACATCATAGAGACTGTGTACCGTGGTGCCCGCAAAGGCCGCGGGCTGGTAGTGTCACCCAAGGACTACTCTACAAAGTACAGATACTGAGCGCTGCCCTCACAGGCTGTGCAAAGGACACTGGGAGCCTCTTCCATGTAGAAATACTCAGTTCTTCGTAGCCTTTGGGAGGGCCTGCAGCGAACATGGCTGTGGGCTGCAGGGTCCTTGAGATGAGAGTCACGGGGCCTTAAGTAGCTGAAGCAAATAAACATGGCGAAGGAACAGTGGCTGTCTGCTGTGTGCTTTACTCATCGTAGATGTCTTTACTCTTGAAGTGAAATCCAGGTGTTTGTCCCATGAGGCTGTCAAGTTCTGCATCCTCAAGTGGTTGCTAGAGCTGCCAGAACAAACTACCACAGACTGGGTACCTTCCACAAGGACACATCTGCTCCGAGGTGTGAGCCTGAGGTAAAGGTGTTCTGGGGTTCCATTTGAGGTTGTGGGCCATCTGTCCTTGCCCCTTGGCTCTGGAGGTCACTGGCAGTCTTTGCTGATCCTTGGATTGAGGATATTTTATCCCAGTCTTTGCCATTTTCTTTACAAGTTTTCTCCTCGTGTGTGTGTCTGTCTCAAATACCCCCTAATTATAAGAATACCAGCCACACATTGCCTGAGTCACTCCCCACTTCTGGACAACCTTATCTAAACTAATTACGTATGATAACCACTCCAAATAAAGTCATGGTCTGAGATACTGAGTTTAAAGCATCAGTATATGGATTTGGGGTGACATAACCCACAACAGGAACCAGACTGAATCTCACTCAGCATATAAAATAGCACAGTGAGCCAGGTGTGATGCACTCCTACAGGCCGGCTGAGACATGAAGATGGTAAGTCTGAGGCCAGTCTGCTAAGCTCGTCTCAAACTCAAAAACAGTGATTGTTTGGAGCCTTCCCTTGTATTTTAACACTCCTCAGATTGTGTCCATATCATGCTTCCAATGGAGGTGGGGTCCTCATTCCTCCTGGTGGGAGGCCCCTATCTACATCACTTTCCTTGTTTCTTTTTCCTGGTGATGTGGAGGGACATGGGTCTTCCCTGTCACCTCTCTGAACACATCCTCAGACGTGAAAGGTCAATATAAGAGGAACTGACCTTATGTCAAGCTTCCCATTGACTCAGGCTGGCCTCTGTACCTCTATGTCATCTTTTTCTCCATATGGAGTGGTGGCCACTCACTAGGCCCCCGGCAGATGGACAGTGCCTTCTGTTGTTAGTAAGCTGATCCGTTATTGTTAAAACTCAACGAAACAAATTTCATACCTACATTTACAAATAAATACACTTGTCAAATGGACTAAGATATGGGCTTGGGATGCAACTCAGTGGTCGAGGTATTATGCATAATTCTTAGCACTACAAAAAGTAAAATTCATATGCAGATCTGCAATTTAATAACATTTAAAAAAGTATAGCCAAGCATGATGGTGCATGCTTGGGAAGCAGAAGCAGGCAGATCTCTGGTTTTGAGGCCAGTCTGGTCATCTGGTTTATATAGTGAGACCCTGTCAGGAAAAAAGAGAAGTTTAGCTTTCTCACTGCCCAGGGATGGGTCCATATGGAGGTGTTCTAGATTTCCAACACAAAGGGACCCATGCCAGGACTGACCACCAGCCCCTTCACAGCGGCGTTTCATGTGAACCTGCCTACCATCTCTGTAACAGATTCCCCACTGCACTATGTAGTAGACATTACCATTTCAGGCAGCAAAGGAGCTCACTCAGTGAGTGATCTAATATGGTAGCTACGGTGGCCCGTGAGCACCGATGGGAGGTCATGCCTGATGTCCACAGAGATCCTGAGGAGATGGAGAAGGAAGAGCAAGCTGCTCCTCAGAAGGCTGTGACCAAGGAGGGATTTCAGGACGAATGGACGGTGCCGGTTCCTGAGTTCCCAGCTGTTCAGACTGCTCAGAATGCATTCAGGTGCCCCTGTGCCTGAGCCACTGAGGGCTGCACTGCAGCTCCCACCAAGTGGTCGCTGAAAGGTCAGCAAGGCAAAAGGCAGATGAAAGAACAAACATAAAACTGTGCAGTCCTTTATTTTTTGGGGGAGGGGGAACTTGCAGAGGGGATTCTCTATGAGAATCAGAATCCACAGTGCTTACAAGCTGGGGTAGTTACAGTCCAGAAAAGTGGGGGCCTGGAAGGAAGGTAGAGTTCCCTTTTTTAGCCCACAGCTGACCACTGCTAGTGATTAGTGCTGTGGTTCTCAACGTTCCTAACGCTGTGCATTCTAATACAGTTCTTCATGTTGTGGTGACCCCCAACCATAGAATTACTTTTGTTACTTCATAACTAATTTTGCTACTGTTATGAATCATACGTATCTGTGTTTTCTGATTGTCTTAGGCAACCCCTGTGAAAGGGTTGTTCGATCTCCAAAAGGGTCAAAACCCACAGGTTGAGAACCACTGAATTAGAACATTGTTAAAAATATCAGGTGATCAATAAATATCTTCCCCGGCTGACCATTACTGGGGTCTCTGGGGGAGGGCAGTCAAGAATCTAGAAAAACAAGATAATTTACTTCTAGAAACCAAATGACCACAATTAGCCATAGTTATTCTTCTCCAAGCACTTAAGCAAAGTGGAAAGATGATGGATGGAAAAGAGTTTATCATTAAAAACAAGAAAACACATGGTATAAAATTGGACATGGTGGCACGTGTGTGATTACAACACTCAGGTAACGGAGGCAGGAGAAACTGGAGTTCAAGGCTAGTCTGAGCTAAAATACTACATCTTAAAAAAGTCAAAATTAAGTAAAACTACATCTCAGTATTATAAGTAGCTAGTTTAAAAAAAAATCTGTGACCCTGAACACCTAGCATATAACAGACACTGAGTATATTCCTGACATTCTTTTATCAAAGAAAGGGAAATGGCCAGAAAACATAAAAATACTCAGCATCACCGTTCAGGAAGGAGATGGAATCAGCCAGAGTTTGATTCCATTTCTGTGGTGGTCCACAGAGGCTTCCTAGTGAAACCTTACTCAGGGTCAGGGAATCTGAGCTTGCTTTACCCAGCAGGGCTGCACAATGGGATGATTTGACCACAGGCGTGGTTGCCAGGTGTTTGGAAGGGTCTAGACTTGGCTGTACAGTGTGTTTTGATCTTTCAAGGGTGAGGTCTTTTGCCCCTCCCCTTGGTGTATTATAAAAAGCCTTTTTGAATAAAGCTCTGGGCGTCTGGGTATTGACCCAGGGCCCTCCTGAAGCTATCCTGTGTCTCTGTCTTTCTTACTGTCTCCTATCTTTCTACCTAATATTTCCTCATTCTTCTCTCCTCCACCCAAGAACCCTTCCATAGGTGGAAGCAGGTCGGAGCTGAACTCCAACAGACAGGACATTTCTCCTCCCCTGGGACAGGCAATAACAAGTGTTGGTGAATATGGGGAGAAATTGTAATCTTCATAAACTGCTGGTGGGGGCTATAATGGGATGTAGCCAGATTGGAAAACAGGCATGTCCTCGGGAAGTTCAGTATGGTATTATAGTATAGCCCTGCCACCCCCCCCACCCCCCACCCCGAAAAGAACAAATGTCCACACAGAAACTTCTATCCACAGCTGCCCAAATGTGGAAGCCCGGGTGTCCATCACTGGATGAACAGATGTAATGTGCAGATAGGCAAGTCTGTTCAGACAGAAAGTGGGTAAGTGATTGCGTAGGACTTGGTGTGTTAAGAAGTGGATATGTAGCAAATGGCTGTGGAGTTTCTTTGAGATTAGGAACATGTTCTAGAATTACTTACATTGTCTGCACAATGAACATAAGGTTAAATAGTTCTTTACTGAATTAGGGTGAATTGTATTTAGTTAGATTACACTTTATTGGTAATAGCTTTTCAGATGTTATGGGGGAAAGGAAAGCAAACAGTTTGCATTCCATGTTCCTTGTATACCTTTTGTTATCAGCTTGCTTGGACTGTCCTAACTGAATGAACAGACTGGCTTACACAAGGAAAATGGATTTTCTCAGTTCTAGAAGCACAAGGCCAAGGCTCGGAGACAGTTCAGCTTCAGAGGACAGCCTTCTCACTGTGTTCTCATGGCCTGTCCTTAGTGTGCACACAGAGAAAGAGCAAACTTCTGTCTCTCATGAGGACACCAGACCTGACCTCCTGGATCAGGGTGCTGCCCTTGTGACCTCATTTACCCCTAATTACTTCCTCAGAGGCCTTCTCTCCAAATAAAGCTGCGCTGGGGTCGGCATACAAACATACCAGTTGAGGGGCTGTAAACATTCAGACCATCACAGATACAGAAGTTGGCTTCAGCTGGCTCTCAGTGACCATCCTTACTGGTGCTCCTGAACTGCAGAACAGTTGACTTGATCTTGCATTCCTGCTTGGATCCTGCTGAAACCAGCTGGTGGTTTCTTCATGTTGTGGTGACCCCCACCAGGAGATTCGTCTCCAAACATTCCAGGATGCCTTTAGGTAATGTCCAGGAATTATCAAGGTAGAGAAGAGTAAGCTTGGAAGTAAACCCAGGGAGCTCAGAGGAGGATGGAGTGAAGTTGGCAGAGATCTACAGCGTCACGAGTGTGCACAGCAAAGCGGCAGCCTTATTGCAGTGCTATTAGAAAAGACACTAAACAACGGTCCAGTGATGTGCACAGCACTGAGTTGTTGCTCCAGGGTCCCAGGTACTGGCTGGTGAGCCCAGTACAGCAACTAGGAAGGTGCAGCTGGCTGTAGACTGCCTGTGCAGCCTTAGAGCAAACAAGACAAAGACCTAATACAGGCACACACTGTGTCCACACTGGTCCATTGAGGAGCCCTGAGGGTGGGCAGCTCCCGATTGCTTTGGAACCACACAGAGGGCTTGACAGACACGGCGCAGCACAGCAAGCACAGCCCAAAATTAAAGTAGGGGGGAGTCTCTTTGAGGGGTGTGATCCCATCCATTGTGGTGGTATTGTGTTCCCCAAAATATTGTGCACTCCAATAAACTTATCTGGGGTCAGAGAACAGAACAGCCATAATATTACACAGAGGTTAGGCAGTGGTAGCACACGCCTTTAATCCTAGCATTCCAGAGGCAGAGATCCATCCAGAGTTAAAAGCCACACTGGAAACAGCCAAGCATGGTGACTCATGCCTTTAATCCCAGGAAGTAAAGCAGGAATCAGAAAGGTATATAAGGTGTGGAAACCAGGAACTAGCCTGGTTAAGCTTTTAGGCTTTTGATCAACAGTTCAGCTGAGATTCATTCTGGATGAGGACTCAGAAGCTTCCAGTCTAAGGAAACAGGATCAGCTGAGGAATTGGCAAGGTGAGGTGGCTGTGGCTTGTTCTGTTTCTCTGATCTTCCAGCATTCACCCCAATACCTGGCTCCAGGTTTGATCTTATTAATAAGACCTTTTAAGATTTGTGCTACAATCCATAAATTAAAATTTCAACTGATTAAAAACATAAAAATTGTACTTTTGTTGTTGTTATTTTTGAGACAAGGTCTAACTCTGTAGCCCTGGCTGGCCTAGAACCCACTAAGTAGACCAGGATGCACAGACTCACAGAGATCTGCCGACCTCTGTTTCCTGGGTGTTGGGATTAAAAGAGACTCCCCACAAGCTGCTAATTTTAAATTAAAGCCAAAGGCAGAGTAAGGAAAATAAGATGGATGAACATACAGAGGCTCATAGAAGGCCAATGAGAACTCATTTCTGGAATGTTTCGTATATAATCTCAATCTATGGGGGTTTTGTTTGTTCATTTTTTTTTGTTTGATTTTGATTTTGACACAGGTATCTACCATAGAGCCAAGGGTGGCCTCAAACTCACGGTCTTCCTGCCTCAGTTTCCCTATCACAGGGATTGCAGGCATGTGCTACTGCCTAGCTTTCATGATTTTGATGATGAGGTCTCAGATCTGACTTTCTTCAAATAGCCACTGAGACTGCTAAATTATAATTATAGCTAAGATACTTTGAAATTTAGTATAGTCAAATAGCACTACCATGATTTCAAACCACCAAGACCACCAAACTCGAATGATCCAATTTAAGGCACACCTTCTAAGATCAAAAAATGTCTACCATCATTGGGAACATTGGATGATACTTCCTTCCTTAGGTATGTTTGGCTGAATGCTGTGGATTTAGTCAAATTTCTGACTTGTTGAAGTGTGCAGAGGATTTGTGGGTAATTTCTCACAATGGCATTATTAATAATATGAAAATGAGTAATGATCTCAGTGTCCAAGAATTAGTAAACCTTTAGTTGCCTAGATGATTATTGCCATAAACTGGAATATTAGGCAGCCACTGGGGGAAATCATGAAATTTTCACATGGGACAATGTTATGATAGGTAAAGAGAATAGGCTATGAGATTATAGGTAACATGATTGAACATATTAAACTCCATAGGACAAGTGTCATCAGTGGCCAATTGGTGGAAGAACTGGGGTGATTTTAAGCTTATATTATGTAGGAATACCTTTTTATAAATGAGAGACCCTTTAGATGACAATAGCTATTTTACATTGGTTTGAGTAACTATTTGAAAGGCTGAATAGCCTAGCAAATTATCTTGATGTCATTCTATCCTCCAGTGATTCCTAGGTGGGGTGAGGTTCACATCAAGACACAGGAAAACTCTCTTTGGGAGAAAAGCATCTACCCCAAGGTGAGGGATGAAGGGCAGTCTGGTTGCTATGGAACAGGGTTCTGAGGCCATGCTTGCTTTGCTAGTTCCTGTGTGTTGATTTGGCTGAGCTCTGGGGTTTTCATTTTGTAGAGCGGTTGCTGCAGAGTTTTCTTAGCCTGGTTATGTTACATTGAGTCTTGAAGGCACGAGTGACTAGCAGGAGGGAGCTAGAATAGCTATGGAAAAGCAGATACATATGGGGCTATAGACATGGTTCAGTGGCTTAAGAGCACTAGATGCTCTTCCTGAGGACCTGGATTGATTCCCAGCACCCACATGGCAGCTAGCAATGATTTTTAACTGGAGTTCCATGGGACCGATACCCTCTTCTGGCCTTTTGCAAACACTGCACACATATGGTGCACAGACAGACATTCAAGTAACACATCCATACACATAAAATAAAAAAATAAATCTCAAAAAAATTAAAAAAAAATTTAGCAGGCTCACGTGCTTAGAAGAGCATCGCATTGATTAAAAAGAAAATAAAAATGGTAAAAGCAGCTACAAGAAAGAACAGGGAATCAGGTGAGTAAGAGGGGAGAGGGAGGATATGAGAGGAGTAACGGGAAGGGAAAAATATGATAAAATACATTGTAAGAAAAATAAAAAATAAAAATAGCTAAAAGCAGCTACACCAGATGAATGATTTTTTTTTAAAACCAATGTAGAATTTTAACTTGGAAAATATGTGAACTAATATAGTGGATGTTTTACTTCCATGATTTACAAATACCCATTGAAAAATATTTTGTTATTATTTACAAGTCTCATCTTTGGTAAATAGTCACCTTCTGAATTACGTTATTATTTTATTTCTTTTGTTTCTCTTTTTTTGCTAAAATGAATTTTACTTTTTAATGGGTTAGCATATAGCTCAGTGGTAGCCACTCACTTATTACATTTTAGGCCCTGGGTTTGATTTCAAGTCTCAAAAAAAAAAAGATTAAAAACTGGACATCAAAATTCTTACTGCATAGATTATTCAAACAGTGTAGATTCCATTTTAGCAATGTCCTGTGACTTGTTTAACATCTTCAGGTCTGGAAGAGAATTTTGAAAGAGATTAGTTTATTTACATGGTTTATATGCAGACTAATTAATATTCAGTTAAATAAGTTCAAGAGTAGTTTTCAATAAAATTCCATAGCTGCTAGTAATTGTTAAACATTTATACATAGGCAAAATTCAGTATAGAGAAATACTCAACGATGGATGTTCCTTTTCTTTGGATAAGAGTCAGTGGATCCAGAATTCGGACTGAATGAACAGCATGCACTCCGCAGGCATCGGAGCCGCAGCATGGGGCCTGCCACTGTGATTAACCACCCCAACTCATTGTCCTCTGGTGTGCAGGGGGCAGGAACTTTCTAGGCAAAATTCTGCATTTACTGCATGCTGTAAATTGAGCAGCACAGATAAAATCCTACCCCATCAAATGTAAGACTTTTTAGTAAGGGTATGGGGCTGTCTCCCCAACGGGAGAACAAGTATAGAGTTTGCAGAATTTCTGAAGACCTGTGTGAAAGCCCCAGCTGAGAGCAAGCATGCCGGGAGCCATTCCCGGTGGTGGAGAGGTCCCAACAGAGGATGTAAGGAGTTGGCAGGGGAAGGAATGAGCCAGGCATGATGGTCGGGAGAATCTTTCAGTCTGACTCAATAGCAGCCAGGGTGCTTTTTTATTTATACAAAATTTAGTAAGCAGGAATAGATTTATATTGTTTCAAAACATAGATCATATCATTTTTGTTTTTGGACATGTGTTTCACTTTTTCTTGTTCATCTTTTAGTCATCATTGTAAATATGACAGATTTATCATTTCCAGTCATTTTCTCTCAAGTTTTAACATCATTGATGAACTGAGTTATCATTTTTACTCATTAGCCCATAATCCAATTTTTAAGAATCTAGAGGCACATGACAACCTGTTCTCAAGCTGGTAGCTTTGGTTGCTTTGAGGATGCTAGACCAAAACAAAATCTTCAAGCCAGCCCGGGCATATTGTCATGTCCCAAGCAGTATATTATTAACTCTTTTAAAATAAAAATAATTTATTTGTATTTTATGTACATTGATGTTTGCATATATATATATATATATATATATATGTGTGTGTGTGTGTGTGTGTGTGTGTGTGTGTGTGTGTGTGTGTGTGTGTGTCTTGTGAGGGTGTTGAATCCCCTGGAACAGAAATTACAGACAGTTGTGAGCTGCCATGTGGGTGCTGGGAATTGAACCCAGGTCCTCTGGAAGAGCAGCCAGTGCTCTTAACCTCTGAGCCATCTCTTCAGCCCCTTATTAACTCTTAAATGTTATAGTGCCCAAGAAAAATCCCCAGGCCAAAGCTGCTGCAGTTATTATTCAAATTCTGACATGATAACCAGCTAATCTAACTTTGTTGCTGTATATGTCACGTAATTGCCTGAGTGATTAGTGGGAAGAGGTTTGCAATCTGATCTGCAGCCAACTCCTCTAGCCCATTGAATTAGTTAACCTTTTTAAGTTTACTTTGTTTTGACTATCTCGTCCTGAGTAAGACAGAAGTTTAAAAAATGTCTCATAGCCTCATAAAGAGACCTCTGGGGGTTGGGGATTTAGCTCAGTGGTAGAACGCTTGCCTAGCAAGCACAAGGCCCTGGGTTTGCTCCTCAGCTCCAAAAAAAAAAAAAAAAAAAAAAAAGAGACCTCTGGCTTCTTTATATGTCACAACCTCCAAAGCATAAGGAAGACCTTCAAGTAGATAAGGATATCTCCCTAAAATCAGGAGGGGTAGCATGTTCAGGACTTCCTGGGGAAGCTTAGAAGCAATACTCCTGGGAGAAGGCATAAATGATTCATAAGAAATTTTCCATCAGTCCAATATCCCCAACTTGTACAAGTATTAAAAGTGTCCCAAGTATGCAACAGGTGGAGATAAAAATCAAAGGTGGCATGGCGGTCATCATGTGGCTCAGCTCTGCTGGATCTTTGTCAAGCACCCGGCTGGCCTTATGACTTTTGCCATTCTCATCAGATATGGCTGTGCCACAAGCACAAACTGGTGCAAGTGTTCTGATTACTTCGTCCTTTATAAAAGGTCTTTGTAAAATCTGAAAGGTCTTGATGGCTTTTAAATAGCCAGCTGACCTCAGCCATTTTGCCTTTAGTGACTGTGTGCACCAAGGAAGCAAAATGTGGACAATTACTTAAGCACCCAATTCGACATCTAAGCCTACACCTAGTTGGTTTTTTAACCCATTGGATGCAGAAGCCGGAGCTTGGGAAGTTCACCCTGCAGAGTGACTGACTACCAGAGTAGCACTCAAGCCAGTCTACCAGGGAAACAGGCCTGCCTGTTCCCGCTGACGCCCTATTGCCCTGGACTTAAAAGATGGGGATTTGATGGTGGGAGGGTGGGAGCTTTGGAGTCCACAGTGCCTGGAGGCACCTGGGTGAACGAGACATGTCTGATAGTACTTTTGTAGGGAAAGTTGCACGTTTTGCCTCCAGTTAGACATTTTATTTTTGAGTTTTGGGGATGGGATCTCCCTATTCTTGTTTCTCTAGTGTTTTGAAACTACTGATTTGGATATTCATACATCATCGATAGGTGAGCTAGCTCTGATTTAGCTGGATAAGGAGGGGTAAATTCACCGTAAATTGATTGTGAGACAGAAGTAAACAAAGGTATCTAAATTGTTTGATGTCTGTGTGGGGGCAGCAGTTGAAGGACGGGGTGGGGGAGGGGTGAATGAGAAGAAAGTAGAATGTCGTATGTGTATAACAATGCCATAATGGGGCCAGTGAGATGACTCGGGGTGCGAGCACTTGCCACCAAGCCTGATGACCTGAGTTGGATTCCTAGTAGACACGTGATAGAAGAGAGGCCGCTTCTACATGTTGTCTGTCCTCTGATCTCCACATACTTGCCATGGCATACGTGTAATCACATACATGCATGTGCACATACATATACACACACACGCTAGACATAAAGATGAAATAAAAATGCCACAATGAAACTCATTTTTATGCTAACATAAAAAACAAAAAAACATTCATTGAAACCACGTATATATTCAGAACACCATGTCATAACATGCCTAAGTATTTTATAAAATCATCTATCTTCATGTATGTCCCATGGGCATACACACAGTCTAAGATTTGAAACAGCACTCATTTGCTCCTCAAGAATAAAATTTCTTAGAAAGGGAATGCTTCCATGGCAGAGGCTGAATGCCATCCTCCAAGCTGCTTATGGGATGTGTTAAAAGACAGGGTTTCTTTGTGTAGCTCTGGCTGTCTCCTGTCTCTTGCTCTATAGACCGGGCTGGCCTCGAACTCACAGAGATCCACCTGCCTCTGCCTCATGAGTGCTGGGATTAAAGGTGTGCACCACCATGCTGGGTTGTATCTGTCTTCTTTAAATGATCAAACAATATATTATCTCAGACAGGAATAACTGACTGTAATCCCAGCCTTTCATTATCATTTGTGTTGTGGCTATAAACTGACTGAAGGAGTAAGGGTGAAAAACACTTTAATAAAATCGGATTTTCAAGTGCTCATTTCCACCTGGAATATGTACCTTCGAAGGCATGATGACCATGTTTTAGTTGTAGAACAGCACGTGGAAGCATCTCTCACTAGCACCGAAGAGTTTTCATGCAACATATTGACAGTAATTCACATAGTGAAAGAAGTCAAGATACACCAAGGCCATGTCTTAACCAAGGCCTTACCGTTTGTTCTTTGACAGAATTCTCGATTCCAGCTTGAACCATTAGGTCATCAACGTTTTTCTGTAAGTCCTCGATGCGACTTCCCATTTCTTCCAGTACAATGTCAAGGAGAATGGCACGTGGTCCAGTTAGCCAACTCATGGAAGGTTCCCGCTTTAACCTGCCCTTGCTCTGCACGGGTCCCTGGGCATGTGTGGCAGAGCAGCTTTTAGTGAGGAAGTCAGGCTGTCCAAAGTCAGCGTCATTACGCTTCCCTCAGCTTTTCTCAGCACATCGTATTTTACCTTCAGCTGTGGACTACGTTTTGAAAACAGCCCCCCGCCCCCGGCTTGTTCATAGTCTTGAGGACTTGAGTTTGGTAAGCTTTAGCCAAAACTCTGAGTGTAGCTATGATGGGAATTAGTTCTTTTTAAAACCAACTTCTTGGTGGTTTATTTTTTTAAAAAGTACTTAGTGTGTGTGCATCATGACTGGTGTGTGTGTGTGTGTGTGTGTGTGTGTGTGTGTGTGTGTGTGTAAATGACATGGATTTGAAGGTCAGGGGACAACTTCCTGGAGGTAGTTCTCTCTTTTCAGGATGGATCCCATGGATGGAACTAAGGCTTGGCAGCAAGCGCTTTTCCAGGCTGAGTCATTTCAAGGGCCCACTTCACTTGATTTATTATTTAAGATTTATTTATTTGTAAGTGTTTTGTATTTATGTATAAATGTATGTATGCCTGAATGTATGTATGTTCACCACAGACATGCCTGGTGCCTGAGGAGACCAGAAGGGAGTGTAGGACTCCCTGAAACTGGAGTTACAGATGGTTGAATGCCACTGTGTGGGTGCTGGGAATCAAACCTGGGCCCTCTTCGAGAGCAGCACATGCTTTTAACAGATGAGCTATCTCTTTATCTCCTTAATATGATTTTTTTAAAGTGAATTCAATCATGTAAAAAAAAAAAAAACCTTAGATTGGGCATGTCTTAGGGCAGATGTTAACCTAGACTTACACAAACTGTAAACATTTTTATTTTCTTTTTAAATTTTATAAAACAACTATATTCTAATAAACTCACAAGTAGAACCATCATAGAACCAGTTTAAGCAAGTCACTCAGACACTTGCCAAGTCCCAACTGGCCATTCTAAATATACAGAGGTTCACTGACATGTGGAGTTGGGACTGAACATTCAATTCTAACTGATTTCATTCTTCCGAGATAAAACACTGACTGGCTTGTTCCAATCAAATGGAAAGTATGTCCTAGGAATGTCTCCTTGCCGGAGACCATCAACACCACTCCCTCAGGTTCCCCATTGCTGTGGAGTCTGCACTACAGACCAGGCTGGCTCAGTTAGGCTCAGCCAGAGCTGGGCCTCTGCTCTCTGAGTTCTCTGCTGGCCGTTCAAATGCCCTGCATCACCAGCCAGTCAGGAAGCAGAGCCTGTGACAAGCGAATAATATTTAATACACCCGATGCCACACAGAAGCACAAATGTAAACTCTGGGAAGCCATGGGTAAGCAATCAGACACCACTATCAGAGAACAAGACGCTGCAATGAGACACTCCAAAGGCTTCACAGTGTTTAGAAAGACCAGGAAAGGATATTTCTGAGGTTTAATGTCGTAGTCAGGGCTCGGAAGTGTTCTTCAAGCTCCTGAAGTAGATTTTCTGCCTGAAAATGAACCTTAGGTAACTGAATAAGGTATTTATTATTAGTGTAGGACACTGTAAATATCATGGAGTACCTAAACATACATGCCCACTGATTTTTGCTTTGTTTTTTGGTTTTGTTGTTTCAGACAGGGCCTCCCTATATATTCCTGACTGGGCTGGAACTCTATGGACCCAGCTGGCCTCCAGTGTTCAGTGATCTCCTTCTGCCTCGCAGTGTTGGGAATGTAAGTTATTCCCTACGGTGCAGGGCACTCGTTTTGTTTTTTGAGGCCGGGTCTGTTTATGTACCTCAGGCTGGCCTAGGACTCAGATCCTCCTGCCTCAGCTCTCCAACATTGGGATTACAGGCCTCTGCCACCATGAGCACTATGATGGAAATGATCTACAGCATGAGAGCGGAGGTGTAAGTCGTCTCACTGTAGATGTTAACACAGGAATCATTCAGTCCAGGGTGAATCAAAGGCCAGTGGTCCCTTTGTGCTTTGGCTGTTTAATAGTGTACGGCACAACGCGTACAGAAATGGTACTGTGGTGACAGTCAGGTTTTCAGTTTGTTTGATGCTTTAAAGTTCACACAGGATGTGTGATGCCTGTCCCAACACCTTTGGTGCCCACCCTGCCAGCGGAACTGCAGGTCCTGGACCCCGGACCCTGCGCTCTTCTGTGTAGGTTGGTTCCCTATGGCAGGTGGCCTTTCAGAACAATGTAGATGAAGTGGACTCTAGCAGATTCTTCTTTGAAATGGGACGAACGTAAGGACCCCTCAGGGAGACAGACTTGCTTTGGCTGTGGCCAGAGAAGACATCAGAGGGGGAAGGAATGGGGCGGGGCTTGGGCTTGAGGCGGAGCCTTTAGGAGGGAAAGGAGGGGTGGGTGGGATCTGGGACATTGGGGCGGGACCTGGAGGAAGGGAAAAGGACTCTCTGATGGCTAGGGACATAGGACAGGACTGAGTGGGGGAGGGGGGAGGCTGAGTCCCGTATGGGACAAGGATCCGGGTTCTGTAGGAACAAGTTTCATCCCCAGCTCCCCAGCGTCCGCCATCTACCTCTTTGGCTCACGACGACTTTGGTTCCCCAGACCCCCTATAGCTATGGCCTCGATCCCTTCCAGTACCCAAGTCCGCGACCTCAGTCCACAGAGCACTAGGGCACGCGTCACTCACCGCGTTCTGCAGTACGTCCCCGCAAGGAACTTCCGGCGCCCGGGCGTCCATCTGCACTGGCGTAGCAGTCTGGGGTCCTGGGTCTTGGGTGGACCCAGCGGGTGTCGCGCTTTGGGCTGAGCACTGGCAAACCCAGAGAGAGCGAGCGCGCGCGCGGGGGCAGGTGCGGACCGGACCAGCAGCCGGCCAATCCGGCTTTGCTGCGTGTTCTCATCCTTCAGAGGAGGTGACCTGGGAGGAACTCTGTCGGTACTTATTTATTCTTGCTACTGTGGCACAGTAAACACGACAGGATGGTGAGCACCCTAGCCACTTCCGAATGCACAGTGCAATGCATTAAGCACACCCACTCTGCCTCTCCATCTCCAAACCTTCTGGTCTCACACTCAGTACCCATCAAATAGCAAGTGACCCTCCCCGCTTGCTCTTCTGATCCCACACCCTGCTGGCTTCTGTCTAGGTACAAACTCTCATATGATGTGCCGCCTCTTACTGGGGACCCCACAGCTGCCAGCGGCTGATGGCACACCACACTGAACAACTGAATCTGTTGCTGCAAATCTGTCATTTCTGAAGATCTAAAGATGTCAGCTTCAGAGCTGAATGGCTTCACTGATGCTCAAGTCTGATTTCACTGTGGGTCTGGAAGCAATATCTCAGGACCCTTCTTCTTTTTTAGGTCTGAGTTGTGGTCACCTTGTGGGTGACTTCCCAGGGCGATGCTTTTTTATCAGTTGCCCGTGTTGTTTTCACGTTTGCACTCCTTGGGCTGAAGGTCGGAAGGATGAGCAGATTGTGTCTATTTAGGCCACCTCAATACTCTAGAGCCTAGCGCAGAGATAACACATGGATGCCGGGGTGCTGCGTATGTTTGAATCGATGGGGGCAGTGCAGTGTGGCTTTAGAGATGATTCACTGGTTAAGGGCATTTGCTGCTTTTCCCAGGACTAGGGTTTGGTTCCCAGAACACCACGTGGCTGCTCAACGGTTTGTAACTCCAGTTCCAGGAGATCTAATGCTCTCTCCTGGCCGCCGCAGGTATTGCATGTACACGGTGTGCTTACAGACGTGAAAACAACCCTACACATGAAAGTAAATAAAACTTTGAAACTTAAACAGAACATGGCCTTACAGGCAAAGGCAGCCGACACCATTAATCATCAGCACCCACGATGAGACCCTGCTCCACACCCATGGGGATACCAGGGGGGAATGTAGACTCAGGCAGCCCCTTTGGAAAATACAGGGAAACAGGGTTCACCACATAACTACATTCCACTCCTAGGTGTGTGCAAGACACAGCAGCACACACCCACACAGAAACATGCACACCTTTTATAGCAGGACTCACTCATCACAAGCATCAAGGAGGAAATAACCTGACAGGTACGTAGATGAGGTATGTGCACACATGAATACCATTCCACAACCAAAGGAGTGTAATACTGGTACACACTACACACTACACAAACTTCACAAACATCAAAGGTCCCCTATTCAACCACTCCATTGTAAGAAACATCAGAACCTGACTGAGAATGTCACAGAGACAGTACCTTACTGGTTGCTACAGTGAGGAGGGGGAGGGGGAGGGGGAGGGGGAGAAGCTGCCTCATAGGTAAGGGGTTCCTTCTTGAGGGACAAATTTCCTGACATTAGATTGCAGTAATGGCTACACAATTTGTGTATATACTAAAAACCATTGGATTACTTATTTGAGTGAATTTCATAGTATGTGAATTATATATCAATGAATGTGTTTAAATGGTAAATTTTAAAAATATAGACAGTTTGCCTTTTGGGTCTGTGGTGGTTTGAATAAGAATGGCCCCCATAGGCTCATGTATTTGAACGCTTACTCATCAAAGAGTGGAACTCTTTAAAAGAATTAGAAGGATTAGATGTGGCCTTATTGGAGGAAATATGTCACTGGGAGGTGGGCTTTGAGCTTTCAAAAGCCCATGTCAAGCCCAGTCTCCCTCCCCTCTCCCCCATTCCCCCAATCCCCTCCCCCTGGACCAGCAGAACAGGATGTAGCTCTCAGCTACTTCTCCAGGGTATGTGCGCCACCATGCTCCCCACCATGATGATAATGATTAACTCTCTGAAACTGTAAGCATGCCCCCAATTAAACGCTTCCTTTTTATAAGAGTTGCCTTGGCCATGGTCAAGCAATAGAACAGTGACTAAGACAATGTCCTTTTAAGTCTTTGTCTAATTTTCTTTCTCTGAAAGAGACTGAGACAGAAACTGTTGTGACTAGTACAGACTGAACTCTAATAAGTGTAGTGTAGTGGTCTGAAAGAAAATGGTCCCCAAAGGGCGTAGCCCTATTAGGAGGTGTGGCCTTGTTGGAGTAGGTGTGGTCTTGTTGGAAGATGTATGTCACTGTGAAGGCAGACTTTGAGGTCTCATACATGCTCAAGCCATGTCCAGTGAGACAGACCATTTTCTGTTGCCTTTGGGTCAAGATGTAAGAACTCTCAGCTCCTTTTCCAGCACCATAGCTATCTACATGCTGCCTTGCTTCCTGCCATGATGATAATGGACTAAGCCTCTGAACTGTAAATGAGCCTCCTCAATTAAGTATTTTCCTTTATAAAAGAGGCCATGGTTATGGTGTCACTTCACAGCAGGAGAAACCCTAAGACAAGTAGGGAGGGGTGTGAGCTGGCCCTGCATGGCCCCCAGTCAGTCTAAGCAGCCTGAGTCAGCCTGTGTAGCAGCAGCAGCAGCTGACTTCTCTTTGCAGACGGCTGTAAGGAGATCTGGGGACCTAGAGTCTAATCCAGGGTGTTCTATCAGAAGTGCACTGGAGATTCAAAGCTCAGGACTCACTAGAGCCACTTTAAGGAGGAAAAGGAAATATTTCTGGAGAGATAAGACCAAGGCTTTGTTTGGCAGGGCGGGCTTCACCTGGCTGGCCTGGCTTCAGTCTGTCAGAGCCCAGAACAAATGGTCTTCCAGTTACCTTAAAGACGTGAGGCTGCTTCCTGAAAAATCTTGCTTTCTCGATTGCTTGGTTTAGGACAAACGCAACTGGAAAACTGCACCAGTGGAGAAGGGAGGACTCGAGAGACTGAGTTAGAGGTACCCAGTACTTACCTGCTCTGTGAGACAGAGCTGAGGATACTCCAAAAGTGGGTACACCAGAGGGGTCTCACATTTTTCTGCTGCATCATCAACACTGAGCCCTCCCTGAGACTCCTCTCTGCTATCCTGCGGTTCTCAGAAAAACAGACTTAAGACTCAAGTTCCTATTCATGCAATCGAAGATGCAGACCACTGCACAGAAGAATGTGGAACCAACTCTCAATTAGAAAATGTATTTTATCTGGATAGGTGAGTGCTTCGTGGTAAACCAAGGCCGGGGGAAGCTGGGGGAGGGGTGCCTGCTGGTGCGTCCAGCTACTATCCTGCCCTCTGGACCTCAGCAATGAAGGGTTCTGGTTCTAGGGCCTGGTAATAGGCTAGCAGCTGCCTGTGGGCAACTGGATGTTCATTTACACCCATGCATATATAGCTACCCTGTTGCTGGCATGTTCAGGGGACTCTCATGCAACCTTAAAAATGTTTTTTTTTTTGGTTAATTCTTTAAACATTTTATACAATATAATTTGATCACGTCATTCTCCTCCCCAACTCCTACCAGATCCTCTCCCACCTCCCTACCCACCCAATTTCAGGTTCTCTCTCTCTCTCTCCAATAGAAGGAAAGAAAGGAGGGAGGGAGGGGAGGAGGGAGAGAGAGGGAGGAAGCACTTTTGAAGTCCAGTTCATGGAATGTGGTCAACATGCCAGTGTCACTCCACTGAAGGAAGCTGACTTTCCCTCACCCTGCCGCTGTCAGGTGGCAAGACCTCCTTGGCAAGGGGTGGGACATTGTGTCCACTTCCACTCTCTCTTCTGGGATTTTGTCTGGCTTGGGTTTGTAAGGTCCTGTGCATGCTGTCATGGTCTCTCTGAGTTCGTCTGCGCATCTGCCCTCCAGTGCCTGGAAAACACGGTTTCCTTGAAGTCATTCACCACACCTAGCCCTCACTATCTTTCCATGCCCTCTTCCTCACACATCCCTGAGCCTTGAGGGGAGGGGCAGGATGTGGACAAGGCGTTTGGGGCTGAACATTCCAAATTCCCTTCTTCTCTGCATGTTGACCAATTGTTGAGTTTCTGTGTAAATTGGCATCTACTGCTAGAAGTTTCTCTAATGAGTATTGAGAAATGTGCCAACCTATGGTTAGAGCAATATGTCATCAGGAATCATTTCATACTGTGTTCTTTTAGCACAATGTTCTGTCTGTGCTCAAGTTCTCAACATTCCTAATGCTGTGACCCTTTAATATAGTTTCCCATGTTGTAGTGACCCCCCAACCATAAAATTTTCATTGCTACTTCATAACTGTAATCTTGCTACTGTTATGAATTGTAATGTAAATATCTGTATTTTCATAGGCTCGTAGGCAACCTCTGTGAAAGGGTCATTCAACTGCCAAAGGGGTCACGATCACAGATTGAGAACCACAGTAAATTTAGCAGAATAGTAGTAGTAGGTTTTCTTCTAGGATCCATGACCTATCATCTAGTGTCAGGTTCTTGGTCTCATTAACAGTGCTAGGTATGAGTTCCATCTCATGGAGTCAGCTGTAAATCCAATCAAAACGTGGTTGGCTACTGACTGTGTCAACACATTATTATGAAAATATCTCTTACATTCTAAAAGATTGGAACTTTTGCAGGACCTCACAGACAGGTTAATAAAAATGAAATTTAAGCTGGGTGTGGTGGCACATGCCTGTAATCTCAGCACTTAGGAGGTAGAGGCAGGTGGATCTCTGGTACTTGGAGGCCAGCCTGGTTTAGACAGTGACCTTGAGGTCCATTAAAGATTTAAGGCTGCTAGTCTACTGTGTACTCAGCCTGCTGTCTTAATTAGGGTTTCTGTTGTTGTGAAGAGACATCCTGACCACAGCAACTCTTATAAAGGAAAACATTTAATATGAGTTGTCATACAGTTCAGAGGGTTAGTCTGTAGACGAATTTCTAAACAGTCTTAATAAATAAAAAACATGGAGCCAAACATAGGGATGTAAGCCTTAGAGACATCAGGGAAATAGGGAAAGCTACCAGCCAACCTTACCTCACCAACTCTACAGCTTCCAAATGTGATATACTTCCTGTCTATCCATGTCTATATGCCTTGCTCTTCTGCCCTCTGATTTGCTCTCTCTGTTCAGTTGTATCACTTCCTCTTCCTACACAGCTCTGTCACTTCCTGTCTGTCTGTACAGAACTCCAGACCTCCATGGTTAACTAGTTTTGGAATTTAAGGCGTGTGTGCCACCACACCTGGCTCTGTTTCCAGTGTGGCCTTGAACACACAGAAATCCTGCCTGCCAAGTGACAGGATTAAAGACATGTGCTAACATTGCATAACTTCTTTGTTTACTTATAATGGCTGTTCCCATTCCTCTGATCTCCAGGCAAGCTTTATTTATTAAAGCACAAATAAAATAT